TTTATTGAGATGGACAATTACGTATCAATTCTAATTAAACATGGTGGAAGATGGGATCATTCGGGTTAGTATTTATTATTGTTTAGTGTTTTATCTATGTTTAAGATAATATCATTACTTGTTAACTGTTGTGAAATGTATAATAATAGTGATTTTCTGTTTTGTGTATTTTTTTTTCTCAAAGTATAAAGTAATTGTATATCCAAATATTTAATAGAATTATTGGAAAGAAATTTGTAAGAAAATGTGTTTCGTAAGATGTAAAAAAAGTTATTTGGATTTTTGACGAATTGTATAACAAGTGTTTTAAGTTGGTATTAAATTATAAATTTTAGTGTGTTATATTAGATGTTGTCATTTCTGAAGTAATTAGTGAGTTAGAAATGAATTATTTGGTACGATAAGATATAGATATTTGTAATGTATGATTATTGTTGTATGAAATGTATATTAAGAAAGTATGAAATTTGTATGGAAGCGTGTCCAGTAATCTAAAAAAAAAGTTATTTGAATTTTTGACGAATTGTATGATAAGTGTTTTAAGGTTGTATTAATTTTGAAGTTTTATTGTTGACATTTTTGTATAAATTTGTGTGACATTAATGAAGTATTTTCGTAAAAAAATGTACATATTTGATGTATGAAATTTGTATTAAAATAGTATGAAAGTGTTTGGAATGTACTATTTGAATGATATTGGTATGAAATGTTTTTTGATTGAATATAAAAATTGTTTTGTAATGTTCTGTCTGTCTGAATGATATTTGTCTTTCGAATTGTTTGTTTATAATGTGAGACTAAATTATATTTTTTTTAATGAAACAGGGAATTATGTCGATTTTCAAATGGAGGGGGTTATATACGATTCTTTTAGTCTTTATAGTGGTCTAGTAAGTGCGATAACATCGCAGCTTATGATAGATATTAATATAAATAATTTAGAGATATTAAGTGGGTATGAAATCTGTTTTGTAGAGTACTGTCTAAATGATATTTGTATGAAAAGATAATGACAAGTGTGTTTAATTTTGTTATTACAATGAATTTTGTGGATGAAATTTGTATGTTCTTTGGATGACTAATTGTTTTTTTTAATGAAACATGGAAATATGTTGATTTTCAGATGGAGGGGATTATATATGAATGTTCTAGTCTTTATAGTGGTCTGGTAAGTGCGATAACATCACAACTTATGATAGATGGTGATATTAATGATATAGAGATAAAATATATACTTAAAAACTCATTAAGTAGTCCACATTTAAGACCAGTTATCTCTGACATTTTCAGATTCAAGAATCATCAAATGCCGCAATAGTTGACATTGAATCTTTATGTTGTGCATGTCATAAAATACACGAAAAGGTGTTTGTTCCATAAATTGTTGAAACCTCTCTTGCCCGAGGAAAACCAACAGATCAGCAAACACATTCATGTTGAAGACCAGTGTGTGTATCTTCCTTGCCTATAAAATAAAATTATTTATACTAAATTAAAACATACTTCATACAAGTATTATTCAAGTTTCATTCCAGTTGTAACTACAGTTTAAAGATAGTTATAATTAAATTATATCATATAAATTAAATAAAAAATAAATCAAAATCATAAAACCATTGATAAAAAAAATATAAAATTCTGTTCATACAAGTATCATTCATGTTTCATACACATGCATATAGATAAATTTTAGTAATGCCTTATACCATATTTATAAAAAAATTCACACCAATTTTATTCAAACATCATACCATTTTCATGTGCACTATGGCATTCATCAATCTACTTTCATAAATTTATCGACATACGCTAAAAATAATTTAACAATTTTAATACATTAATGGATAAATTGAAAAAGAAACCTTCTTAATAGGAAAAATCCCAATTTCATATAAAAATTATTCAAAATTTATACAAAAACAGAGTAATTAAACAATTCATACAAATTGCATACCAAGTTAATAATTCATACCATATACACAATTAAGAGACAATCACATCAATGTTAATATACAATTCATACCATTTGCATATCAATATTGTATCAAAATTCATACAATATCCATCAATCAAACATTAAATTCAGATTCATATACATTTTTTTTTCAGATTTCGAACAATTTTTACACAAACAAATATTTCGAAAACAACAATAAGCATAATGTGATATAAAAAAATCACTATTTTGACTAATGTGAAAATAAATTAAATATAGTACTTATCCTAACAACTTTTTTTGTGTTTTTTGGATGTTGATATTTCTGATTCCTTCTTTTTTGTTGTTCTTCTTGTTGATGGTTTTGAAGATTGAGCAACTTCTACATTTGTTGTTTTTTTTTTGCTTTTTTCTTTTTGATTTCACCACAATATCCATCAATCAAACATTAAATTCAGATTCATATACAT